GACTCATGCAACTCTGAATAATTCTTCAACTGAATTTATCAAATCAATCATTCATAACATGGGGTTCATACAATCATTCCTAACATACACATCTAGGGTTCTTCATACCCAGATGAAATGGAAAATTACTCCATGGAGAGATGTGAGAACGTCTTGCTCGGAGTAGACATCATCAGAACAACAATGGACAGTTGCTCCTGGCGGCTAATCGGTACTCCGAGGTTGGGGAATCTAGCTCCGAGGTCTTCAGATCGCTACAATCCTTTCCCATGGGTTTTGCTTTGCCTCTCTCTCTCTCTCTCTGTGGCTCTTTTTATGCCTTTGGAAGTCCAAAAATCCAGATCCTTTGCAAATTTCCCGAGTAGACTTTAAATAGACTGAGAATCCGCGAGTGAAGGCCTAAGTTACGGCCGTAACCTTGGTCGCATACCTGTAACTTCCTAGAAACGACGTCGTTGTGGCACTTCGTAAACCAAGAGTTACGGATCCTTTGGTGAAGTTACGGCCTCGACCGTAACTCGAGGGGGAAGGTCGTAACTTCAAATATGCTTCTGATCACTTGGCTTCACCACCTCGAAGTTACGGGCAAGAAGGGAGAGTTACAGCCCAGAACGTAACTTGAAGGATCTAGCCGTAACTTCCAGAAGCTCCCTAGAACTCTGTCTGCTCCACTATAAGGTTATAGGCCACCATGAGGAGTTATTGGACAGATCCTAACTTGCAAGGTCTGGCCGTAACTCTCAGCTGGTTGATGTCCGTTTCTCTCCAAAATGTCCTGAACTTTGCTCCTTCGCGCCCATTCACATGCTAGGACCTAAAACATCATCAACGAACACAACCTAGCGTAAAATAGGCCACGAGAGCGATAAACCAAGCTCAAACGGTCAAGAATTGACGGGAAAAACATGTTCGAATATGGCGTTATCAAATTCCCCCACACTTAACCGTTTTCTTGTCCCCAAGCAAACCTAACTCAAACCAATGCAGCTCTCCAGACCTTTATAGTAACATGCAACCCCGATCGTCGGTAGAGGATTTCCTAGATCAATTAGCAACTTACGTGGTCAATTGGTCTTCTAAGACGTCCCTTATCTCTCTCAATGCCAGTACTATATTCAAGCCAGGATCATGAGAAGCAATGAAACTAGGACAACCAATTCATGGATAAAGAGACTCACAAATTTAACTACCAAGGACTCTTCGTATCAGGTGCTCTTCCATTCCATTTCATTCGTTGGAACCCCTTTTCATACTTTTGTTTTGTTATCTTTTGTTTTTCATTCACACTTTGTTGGGGTTCCAAACTGCAGTTTTATGTGCGGTCGACCCTTATTTATCGAGCAAGAGCAATTTATGTAAACATGTCACTCGCCAGAGTACTTCTTTTAACTCCTTTTTCTCGAATCGTGTGGAGGGTCATGAAATTAAGGGGGGTCGGAAGCTCTATCTTTGCCCTTAAAAACACATCCTCGAGTAGGCAAACCGCCCAACGGGTGGAATTTTTACTTGTACTAGAGACAGCGCTTCACCTTGTAATCAAATATTACAAATTACAATATATAGAAATTAGTCATATAAACATTACAAACATAATAGACAAAAATGACAAATTAGAATGATAAACAATACAAACTGAATTGATATTGGCTTGCTACCTCTACAATTCAATCCCGATCATAGGCCAAGTGTAACCTATAACCGGGTGTAGCATAAAGTAAATATTTCAAATATCAACCCGAGCGATCTATATACCCTTACTTCAGCCGTCTACAAGTTATCGAGCAGTCAAATTGTTGTTAAAGCCAATAAACAAAATAAACAAGCAATTAAAACAATGTTGCATTCAATCGAGAAAAATTCACTCAGACGATATTCCTCCTAGTCCCATGTTGAGATGCTATTGTGATACTCCAATGTGATAGATAAGCTTAATATGTTGTTAGGATCGCTAAAGTAGCTAGGACCCCCTACTCGAGTGCATCCTAGCCCGCTTAATCGATAAAATCATATGGACGTACCTCATACTCGCAAAAGATGACTAAGGCAACCAATTGTAATCCCTCAATATTAACTTTGAACAAAATAGAGTTACCAATCACAACTATTTATGACACTCTACGATGATTGAGGGGTGACCCGAATTGCACAAAGGGGATTTTCTCCCTCCTAGGTCAATTGCTCCAAAATTGAAAATTTTGATCAATAACACCCAATTTGCATGAAAATACCATATTAAATATATAAATCACAATAACCATTCGCAATAGAGTTCATAAACCACAAACTACAATATTATGAACTAGGGTTCCTATCATCCAAGTGAAAATGAGGACTATTTCATAGTTAGAATATAACAACTGAAATAGAGAAAAAATCATGGGAAAGTGATTCTTCCTTTTCCTAGTTGCTTGAATGGACCATTGGGGGAGATATCTGCCCACCAATTGCCTTGGATATGTCAATTTCACCTTCTTCTTTTACTTGCTCGTAGCTTTCTCTCTCCAAACTTGAAGAAGAACCTCAAATCTCTCTCCAGAACTCTCACTTTCAATTTCCGCGCACGATATTTTATATAGCATGCGAGTGATAATATCACTGTTACACTCAAATCTGTGAAATATGCAATGAAACCGTGAATTCAACGCAAAAAGCGTCGTTTCATTAACATACTTCACGCTCTTGTTGATGACTTCATTACCAGAAGCCGCCAAATATGTGCAGTCATTAATACAAGCTAGGCCGCCGTGAGCAACCGTCTTTTACCCGGAAAAAAAGAAGAGAAGATAGACAATATGTGGTGGGTGGTGGGGATTAGGGCTGGAAGTTTGGTACCGTATGTGAGATATACTCAAGATCGGACCCAGGGGTATTTGGGTTGTCCTGGGACATTCCTAAATTTTGTGAAAATGATTATACCACCTCCGGTAGTAATTTACGTATCGATGGAAAAAATTACAATTGATAGTTGGGGACACCCTTGAAATTTGAGAAAAATGATTATCCTACTCTCATTTTTTAGTTTGTGTATGAGAATATAAGTGGTAGTTTGGATAATTCAAATCTAAGACACTAGTATTATTAATAAACATAATTTACACTCATTTGTTGTTTGATTATAAACACTGTGTAATAGTAAATTGTCATTCTCTATCTCTAATTATTTTCAAAACTTAACAAGTAAACTTTCAAGCTACCCTTAATTTGTATTGATTTTATGGTTGTACGACAAGTACTAAAATAGTCTTTTCAGTTTTGGTTACATCAAGAACAAGTTTAAAAATCAAATATGCTATTAGTTCGTGAATGATTGTCTAGTAGGATATGCAGAGATAATTGTTTTTAGCAGTGTAGACACCAAGTGTATTCTATAATTATTTGCGAATATGAAACACATCGCTGGACTTTTTTTTAACTTGTACAAGTCAAGTACTTTGTTAGTTAAGAATGATTTAATTTTTATTTTTATTTAATTTATTTTTTAAAAGATGACACCGCTATGTAAAATTCCTGGGTCCGCCACTGGATATACTGAATACGCTGCCGAACTTATCAGTATTTTGTATTACCGAATATCAAGTTATTTTTAAGGGTCGGGGATTGGGATTCATTAATCATTATGGAGTGCTATTCGGGATTGGAATCGGTATATACCAAAATACCGAGAAACAAGGAAAATTAAAAATTAATGAAATATAGTAAACAGCCTTTGACATTTCTCACTCTTTCACAACTCACAAATCCGCATCCAACTCAATTTTAGCTTTCAAGTTTAAGTCTCTCGTATCTCACCTAATCTCTTGTTATTTTAATAACACAAAAAAAAAAAAAGTAGTCGTCTATCGACCTCCAATTCGTCGAATTAAAGATATGAGATACCTAATGACATGAACTTGATATATGTCACCTCTCCTCCATTCCCCTTATCCATGTACTAGCTCTAAGCAAACTCAACTCTTTGCTAAGTCTCTGTGCCCTAAATTAAATAATAAAATCTAATTTATATATTTAACTATCGATTATAAAGTTAATTAATTTCATATTCGATAATACTGAATGTGATACCAGAATAGCTATTGGAATACCAAAATATTTAGGAATTGAGATGAGATACCTAAATAATTTAGGGATTGAGACTGATATTGATTTTAGAATTTAATTCGAAATTTGGAATTTCGGTATTCAATATTGAGTTACGCCGCAAGGTTGTCAACCCGCGGGTTGACCCACGGGTCGACCCAATTTGACCCTGACCCGGTGAGAAAAACGGGTCGCACGCACCCGCCGGGCCGACCGCTATAAGGTACCGGGTTGGAGGTCAAATTGTGTCATTTTTTCTTTAGTTTGCGAAATGCGCCTATTTTCCAATTTTTCTTTTCGCCTAACTCAATCTTTGGAATACTAAGTTGAACATTTGAACATTTATATTATATAAGTGTGTGTGAATTTTCACTATATGTTGGATCTGAGTACGATATGTTATTTTGGTGTAATATTATATGTTATAACTCATATGTTAGATAAGATTTGATATAATTTATGAGGATAAGTACAATATAATGACTCTTTCTATATTTCCGGGCCAAACCGGGCTAAAACGGTTGACCCATTAACCCTTGACCCACTAGCTCGACCGGGTCCGGGTCAACCCGCGGGTTGACAACATTGAGTTACGGATATCGTATCGATTTGTTTGTACCCTAGTGGGCGCATTTTGAAGCAAATGCAAATGGTGCGATGGAAATGGGAAGGAAGTATTGGGGTAGGGTCGGGTCGGGAGACCGGAGGTTTGGCGAGGAAAGGGTAGCGACGTAGCGTGAAAAAAGGGATGGTGTCAGAAGAAGGCAAAGCCTTTCAGGCTCTGACACCCGTTCCGTTTTTAGAGAGAGAAAAAGGAAAGAAAGTGATGAATGATGCGGCAGCGCTGGGTCGGAGCCTGAACTGAATCCTCCGCTGACCCTGTCTGTCATTGCTTTTGCCATACACTTTTCTTCTCTTATCATGAACCCTATTATTTTAATATTATTTTGGAACAAGTTCCGGTCTTCCTCTTGTTTCAAACAAAGGGGTCATTAAAAAAAAAAGTTGGGTGTTGTGGTTTTCTTTCATCATCGACCGAAGCAAATGGAAGCGCACTCGATCGTCGTCCTCTGGTAATCACTCCTGTCCTTGTTGATTTACAAAAATAAAGTTAAAATTCATGGCTGTTTTCATTGTTTGGTGGGTAATGGCTGTGGGACCCGGCGGAGGCAGAGCACGGGCTCTGTTTCTGCGACGAGGAGAGAAAGAGGAAGAAGATGATGAGAGTGAAATTGATGAATGAGTGAAGGAAGGAAGGAAGGAGACAGAGACCAGAGCAGAGCACCATTCTCACACCGTTTGATGAATCTGCATCTCGAGATTGGCGCCTCCGCAGCTCTGCTATTCTCTTGAGTCTTCTTTTCTTGCCTGCATGTATCTATCTTTGTGATCAAACAAACAGAGGAACCTATTTTTCTTGTTGTGACTCGCCCAATGTGTGTTTTGTCTTGTTTAAGTTAACGCAGCTCCAGTTGACATTTTTCTTCTTGTGAGTGAGAGTGACTCGGTGTCTGTTTCGTTCGTTTGTTGTTGTTGAAGAATTGGGAGTGATGGAATCAGATGCATGGAGGTGCAGGAGAACAGATGGGAAGAAGTGGAGGTGCGGGATGAGTGTGGTTGCTGGCCAGAAATACTGCCACCGCCATATGCACAGAGGCCGCCTCCGTTCAAGAAAGGCTGTGGAAGCCGCTGCCATTGCCCTTGAGAGACCAGCTCAGACTTCAGCGGACCTCCATCCTTCCTCCTCCAAAAATGCCCTCTTCCCCGCCCCAACCCTAACCCAGAACGCCGCCGCTACGGATGCCCTTAAACTTAAAAGAAGCAGCGCCCTTCCAGCTACTCTAACCACGGATTTGTGCCCCACGCCGGCCGCCAACAACAACAACAATGTGCTTCAGCCTCATGGCCTAGATTTCTCCCCAAAGAGTGTCCTTCCAGGTAGGTTTCTCTGCTCGCTCAATGCTCATACTCATACTGCTCTGCCTTCACTAACTCCGACTTTCTTTTTGTTGCAGTTGAGCGGTGCTTCCATGGAGTCCTCGACGAGGCAGGGAGGTGCAGGAGAACGGATGGGAAGAAGTGGCGCTGCCGCCGCCATGTGCTCCCCAGCCACAAGTATTGCGAGAGGCATTTGCACAGGGGAGCTAAACCACGCCCTCAAACTTACCCACAGCCACCTAAACTGCCCAACATTGCCACTCACACTGCTGCACAGCCGGTCATTAATACCACTACTTCCACTACCAGCAGTGACGCCACCATTAGCGACGACGCCACCATTAGCGACGACGCCACCTTCATTGGCATTGCCAGTAGTGCAAATTCCAGAAACTAGCTAACTATTCCAACACAGGCCCTTTTCAAGTCTGTGTTGAGACTTCTGGTATGATATGCTCTAAGTAATTAGTGTTTGACAAGTTGAAGGTTTCTGCTACCAGGAAACAACTGATTGACTGATATTTTGATCGGAGCAGCAAACAAGTAGTGCGTGCATTCAGAGCTTAGTTACTACTGTACGAGAATCGCAATTCTTATGTGCTTAACTGATCCTCCGTTATATGCCCATGCTATTTCTGCGGCTTGTTTACTCTCTTCAAGGATTTCCCCCCAAAAGCCACCCTTACAAACACAAGGGGGAACCAAAAACATAGCCTCGCCCAAAAAGCAGACCATGAAGAAACAGCTCAAATTTACGCCACCATGTGAGGGAAGCTCACTCCCATGGTGCCTTCTATGATTATCTTCACTAGTTTAGCTCATACTAGTAAAGGGATAGATGATAATATATTTCGACAATCAGTTTGTGACTATTCCTTTTGTGATACGTGTAAACCAGTTCAACCACCCAATTTTGAGCTAGTTGTTGACGAATTTCCCTGATGATGGTAGCATGAGGATGACCAGAGTCATCTTGCTTGTTAATAAAATCGATAGCTGAAACGCAATCAGACTCAACAATGAGGAACTGGATGCCTCCAATCTCTTGCATGATTGCGAATCACTCATCTATGCAATCGACTGTAGATAGTTCTTGTAGCTGATTCCACATAGCACTTTATCTTATAAATTCCCCCCCCCCCCCCCCCCCCCCCCCCCCCCACACTTCAAAATAAAGCAGAGGAGCAAGCTGAAGTAGCTCCCCTAGCTAGCTTCACGCTGATCTTCCAAGTTTTCCGCAGCTAAATTGTCTCTTCCGATGATAAACCCAGGGAGATTTCTAATAGGAATGACCTTCTCCCAGATCATTTAGCAACCCGACAATCACGCTGACGGCTGATGATGAAGGTTTGTTTCAGGGTCTTCTTGGCAGACTGCACTAGCCACTAGGGGTGTACATGTAGGGGTGTACATGGGTCAGCTAGATCGGGTTTAGCCATTTTAATCACCCGACCCATACACTACGGTTTAGAAAATATCAAACCCAAACCCACCCAAAATAATTTAAACCCTACGGTTTGTTTCTAATTGGGTTGGATCGGGTTGGCGATATTTTTAAGTAAAAACCCAAGCTAACATAAAATATATAATTATTCTACATCATAAAAATATTTTATAACTAATTAAAATTTCAAGCGAATAAACCGAGGTGAAAGTTATCAAAATTCACAAATGTTGTTGAATTTGTAATAAAATGTGATTTAGTTCAACATATGTCTAGTTTTTTCACGATATTTGTTTAAATACGCTAAAAAGTTTATAAACCATAATATGTTATTCTATTAAAATTGTACACAAGAAAAAGGATTACATGAATCGTAACTATATTCAATTTATGTCTAAACTTTAAGTCGATGAATGCATCAGATTTATGGAGACCATGAGAGAAAAACATGGCGAAAAATCTTAATTTTCTCATAAGTATGCCTATATACGACATAAATATTTTTTAGATACGAACTCATACTAATATTTGGAACACGGGCGGGTTCTACGGGTTGTGTAATTCAAAATTCAAACCCAACCCAAAAGAGGCGGGTTGTACAAAATAAAATCCTCACCCAAGCCAAAACCTTCGTTTTAGCGATAAATACGGGTGGGTTGAGTCGGGTTGGACAGGTGGGTCGCGGGTGTGTTTGTTCACCCCTAGACTGCACATTTGTTATACTGCACATTTGTTATCCTTCGTCATGTGTCAATACTTCCTCACACTGTTCGTGGATAGTCTTCCTTTGGCCACCATCCAAATGAAGGAAAAAATCCCAAAATACACATGTTTTAAAAAAAATTCCCAAAATACACACGTTATAAAATTTTTTCCCCAAAATACACATGTTTGGGCATGACCTCTGTTGTCAACCACAGTGAATGCATTCACCGCGGCAGACCAAAGCGGTGAATGCATCACCGCGGTTGACGGTCACGGTGAATGCCTAACGTAACACTGAAACCTCAAACAAATGTAACTTTGTGCTCGGTTATCCGATTGTAGCGAAATTTTTTTTGATTCCACATAACTTTTCAAGATCTTTCAATCTGTAATGAGAATTCATCCCAAAAAAATAATTTGCTACCACGAACGAGCAATTTTTCGATTTTGACAAACTTTGAAAGATCATAACTTTGTGCTCCACAATCCGAATGTCATGAAACTTTTTTTTTATTTTGCATAACTTTTGAAGTACTACAACTTTTATTATAACCATATTTTTGGAAAGTATGTGGATTTGTGAAAAGTAAAGACAAAGTTATTCCCAAAATCCCGTATACCCAAAAATACTTCTTTTTTAAAAGATTATTTCCTAGTAAAAGTTGTAGTTCTTAAAAAGTTATGCGCAATAAAAAAAAACTTTACCACGTTCGGATTGAGGAGCTAAAAGTCCTTCCAAAGTTTGGCAAAATCGAAAAATTGCTCGTTTGGGGTAACAAACGACATTTTTTCGAGATGAAGTCTTATTGCAGATTGAAAGATCTTAAAAAGTTGGGTATGCCTACTATGACATGCATGTCACCGTGACATGGACTTTTTGGTCGACCTAATTCTGAAGGCGGTCGACCGAATTGACTAATTTGTGCAGCACGAGAAAGCATTGCGGTCGACCTCAACGACCACGTGGTCGACCGCACTTAGTTTAAGTTGTTATTTTTTGTGGAAATCACGCATTAGAGAAAATGACGGCGAATGCTACATTAGGTCGACCTCACCTTAGACGTGGTCGACCACTTCGACACGTATAACAGCAACCGCGAACAATCTTCTTCACAAAGGCTCTAAATCGAAAAAAACCTAATTCGGACTTTTGGTGGCGTTGAAGGGGACTTATATTCGTATTTATAGAAATTTAGGACGTGAATTGACCCATTCACGTCCTAAATCTCTATAAATACGAATATAAGTCCCCTTCAACGCCACCAATTCGTTTTCTTGTCCAATTGTGGAACCTTTTGCTGTTGGAATCCTTATCCAATACGGATACGGTGTGCATGCGGTCGACCTCTTACTAATGAGGTCGACCTGATAGGTGCACAAGGGTCGGCTTATGAGGTATTTGGGTCGACCTTTCGTTCTGTTATACCACCAAAGAGGTCGACCATTTTATGTAGACGGTCGACCGCGTCTCTGAACCTCACATAACTGAATTTGTCAATTCGGTCGACCGCCTTGTGAATTAGGTCGACCGAAAAGTCCATGTCACGGTGACATGCATGTCACCATAGCAAAATCCTAAAAAGTTATATGGAATAAAAAAAATTTCGCTAAAATCGGATAACCGAGCGCAAAGTTATGTTTGTTTGAAGTTTCAGTGTTAAGTCAGGCATTCACCGCGGCTGTCAACCGGGGTGATGCATTCACCGCTTTGGTCTGCTGCGGTGAATACATTCACTGCGGTTGACAACAGCGGTGATGCCCAAACATGTGTATTTTGAGAATTTTTTTTTATAACGTGTGCATTTTGAGAATTTTTTTTAAAAACATGTGTATTTTGAGAATTCATCCCCAAATGAACCCCCCCCCCCCTAACTCTTTCAGGAACGTGCAGCATCCAGATCTTACGCCAAACTGGGTCGACGTTCATCAATTGTTGTGAGGCGAGAACTTAATTCGAGCCCAAATGTACACATTTTACCCATCATTTCTTATTCGTTTACCTTAGCATTTCATCGTTCCTCAACATATTTCATGCTAGGTTGTGCTTGTTTTGATACATTTCAGGTCCTAGCATGTGTGGAAGGGTCGAGAACGAGTTTTGGGATATTTGGAGGTCAAGAAGTGCAAAAACTGAAGCAAATTCCGAAGACCGTGACAATTGCCCCGTTGTAGTGAAGTGAAGGTCTCCAAGAAACAGCCGCAGTTCACGGCCGGACGAAGCAGTTAACGGTCTCCTAAGACCGTGAACTTCGATCACAAAGCGTGAACACCGAGGCATCCAGCGGGGTTCATGAAGTTACTGACGACAAGGCAGTTCACGGTCTCTAAGACCGTGAACTGGTGCCATTGACCGTGAACCCAGGACAGTCAAGCGCTGCGTTTTGGACGACCCTGAGTTCGCGGACGCGTTTAGGTGTTCACGGCCGTGAACTGGCCAACGCGTCTGACTCGCTCCTACCGTCACTCTAGAAAATGGCCAAGTGTAACCACCTCCTAAAGCGTAGTATAGCGGGTTTGGGTTTTAATGTCAAACGGGGTCCTAAGTGTGATGACTACTCCGTGAGTTCTTATTATTTATCAGTAAAACTTTAGTGAAGGTCCAAACAAGCAAAGCAAGTAAAAAGGTTGTTTTCAAATGACACTTTTTAAATAGTTTGGGCTTCCTAGTGGAATTAGCCCTAATGTTAATTATAGAATGTTATATGGTTGGATTTTGTCAAATAGAAAAATAACATATTAATTATAGTAATGTAAGTTGATTGTGTCTAATGTAAGATTTTGTTTATTGAAATCCATGTAAGCTATTGAGCTCGCAGATATCCTACTAGTTTATTTTGTTGGTATATCTAACATAAATGGATAAGAAAGTAAATTAAATATTTAAGTTCTAAATTCCAAATCGTTAAATTCATGATGAAAACATCTCAACAAATAAAGGTTTCTAACAAATCCATAATGTCACAAATCCTTAATAAAATGTTGTGTTTTAAAATTATAAAACCCTCATTTCTAAATTCACATAGTAAACTAAACCTTAATGTTGACAACAAAATCTTTACACATAACTTCAGCAACACGACTAAAACTTCATCAGACAAAAAAATTTTCCTTAAGCCCCTTCACTTCCATTTTCGTTTCCTGTTTTCTGTTTTCATGTCATAAATTTGACAACTCCTCATGTCATAAATTTGGTTAGGATGCCAACTCCTTCTCTAGCACGTTCATATTCGTCGGACGAATACTCATACCACCTTGATTGCAAAGTAGCTATGCTATTTGCAGCCAACCAAATAAAAAGTAATAATTCAAAATTGATTATATATACGTCTTCGGTGAGAAGTTTCACCTCCTACGACATATCCAACTCTCAGAAAACTTATTGAATCAGAAAAAATCGATGCTTGCTGGAAAACTCGCCAGGTAATAAACGGAAAGTCGAATCTCGACGTAAACTGTGGACATG